GGTTAAATATTGGGGGGGGGGGCAATTTTATAGAGAAATCAGTATTGGTATCACTGATACTGGCCTTCAGTCATTAAAAAAGATGCCATTAAATAAATATAAAAAATATATATATACTGTCTTTATGTTGTTTGTACATTAATTTGAAGATTGAATGTTAAATTATTGCAATATAAAAGTATATTTAAAAACTTTAATGTTAGATGGGATTAATCGCGATTAATTTTAGAAAAATGTGCGATTAATTTGTTAATTTTTTTTTATCGATTGACAGCACCAATAAATACACAAATAAAATGATTTTATTTATTTTACTTTTATTTAAGACAGAAAGAAAGCATGGGATCTTTAAGCAGTATAAGAAGCTTTAATTTTTCAAGTCATTTTAAAGTATTTTCTGATGTCAGAAGTGGCTAATCCACCATTGTGCCCATACCAAAGAAAAATAAAAATCACATGCTTGAATGACTGGAGGCCCGTTGCTCTTACACCCCATCAGTGACTCCAGCCACCCATCCCACAGACTGCTCTCTCTGCTGCCCTCAGGAAGATGTCTCCGCAGCCTCCGATCCCGCACTAGCCGGCTGAGGGATAGCTTTTTCCCTCAGGCTATCAGACTAATGAACAGTCAGAACTAATACACCCTACAGCACCCTACAGCATACTCCCACAATACGGTATGCCACACACTGCACTTTAACTCCAACAGTTCAATACTGGACTATACATACACACTGCATTTAATACAATAATCTATCTGCTACCACTGGATACCATCCAATGCACATCCATGACATTTTGCGTATCCAGTTCATGCATAATCTGTTGCACCTTCACATATTTTGTGTGTATATATGTCTACATAATGTAGAATGTGTACATACTGTGTATAATGTGTATTGCTAACTGTACGTATGTACATACTGTGTATAATGTATAGTGCTAACTGTAAGTATGTCTAATAGTACACTGTGTGTACTGACTATATATGTATGTGTATATTGCACATTGTCATCTGTTGAGGTCTGTATGTTTATATGTAAATTGTTTCTGCAGTTTCTGCAGTCTGGAGCACGCTCCCAAGAATTTCACTCACCAAGGCACATGTGCTGTGGTGATGTGACAATAAAAGTGACTTGACTTGACTTGACTTGGCTAGTACCAATATACAGCAGTTTAACTGGAGTAATACTAAATGTAACCATAGTATTTTGGCAGGAACTGTGGTTCCCCTGGGAAACGTCCCAAACGGAACAGCTCTTGTGCTCTCACTGTGTGAGCTGACTGCTAAACCGAACCTCACTGAGAGAGACAAACGCTGGAGCAGATGTCAGCTGGAGGCCAGATGTGTTGGAATATGAAGGCATCAGCAGACAGATCCATTGTGAGTGTTTGTCTCTCATTCTGCTGAGCTTTCTAAAAACACGACCTGAGTGAGAGCAGCATCTGCCAACCTCCTCAACATCTGCACAGCGTGATACAGCTGCTAAAAACGCTCTTCATAGACCGTGAAATAAGCATAGCTCCAAGATAAAGCTGCTTTTTTGTTGTTAAGCTGAACAGACAAAACAGCTCAACAGATTAGCAGATGTAATTGATAAACACATGCAGCCGAGCAACGCACATTCTTAAGGATTGAACTAAGAACAAACTAAAAGCTTTCCACTTCAAACTAAACCTATGCATCCGTCCATACACTGAGGGTTGAGGGTTAACTGAGTAAGCAGGGAAAAAAAATCAGCTTCAATCAGAAAATTCAATTCTTATTCTAATAAAATAAAATAAAAATAAAAAATATGTATATTTAATTGGTTTAAAATACACTTAAAAATAAAGAAAATAAATAAAAGTTAATTAATTAATTAAATACCTAAATTCTATTGATTTAATTTATTTAAAATAAAAATTGCTTTAAAATAAAAAACTTAAAATAAATTGATTTAATAAATATTTAAAATAAATAGCTTTTAAAAATAATTTTTAAAAATAATAAATAATTTTACAATAATTCTTTTAATAGATTAAATTGTAATATGTTTTTAATAAAAATAAATAGACTAAATTAAATTAATAACTAAAATAGAACATTTCTATTGATTTACTTGATTTTATAAAATATTTTATACATAAATTAAGAAATAAATGTAAAAATAAATCAAATATATTAAAGAATGAATGAATAAATAAATACAATTTTAGTATTAACTACTCAAGTGGTCTGAGTACTTACAGAAATAGTCTATAATCAGGGGTGCACATAAGTGGTCCGCAGGTCCGCATGCATGACCAAAATAAAAAATGCGCCGTGTAAATAAGTTCTCACAGCGCATTTGCATACCGACATGATTGACAGCTATTAATGCACAATCACCATTTTAGATCGACAAACTGTACTGTATAAGATTTCTATTCAAACTGAATGCATAAATCTAGGCTATCCTACGGTAGCCGAGAAGTGCAAAACAAATCACAATTCTGAACACAAAATAACAAATTACAAACGCAAATGCAAGTCTAAAAAACAAAATAACAATTCAGAAAACACAACAACAATTCAGAAAACATTATAACAAGTCAGAAAACACAACGACAAATCAGACAAACCGGAAGAGGTAGGTATAGTTTGAGACAGCGCCATTGGTTTGGGATTACTCACCGCTAACTGGACGAGACATCTGTCAATCAATGTATACGGGAAGAACCAGCCGAAGAACAGCAGAGTCATGGTAGAAAGTTCGGAGATGGTATTAAAGTAGCTCAGTTTAAATGTATTGTATGAATTGCCCTTACTATGGAATAAAAAATACAGAGTGTCTATTTACACTTAGTTAAAAGTGACTGTGAAACATCAGCTCCAGTGGTGCAGATGGATAAGCGCGTGTCGTTGGCTTTTTGACGTGATCGACCTGGGTTCGATCCCGCCTTTTGCCGAACTTTTTTTTCCTCCCTTTTCAAATCTCGTATTAGCAATGGAT